AAAACTGTAAAATCAACAATCAGAGAATATGAGTATGTAATTGTTCATAAAGCCAAAGAAAATCCTAAATTGATATACCAATATATAAACAGTAAAACTAAAATCAATCAAACAATAAGTGCTCTGGAAATGGAAGATGGAACAATACCGATAATTGAATCAGATATTACTAAAGTACTGAACAATTTTTTGCATTCAGTTTTTCAAAAAGAAAACGACAATGTACCAACGTCTAATAAAGCATTACCTAAACCAATTGTAAATCTGAATATAAATATTGACACCGTTATTAAAAAGTTAAGTAAACTGAATGTTAATAAATCTACTGGTGAAAACAAAGTGCACCCGAGAGGTTTTAAGGAATGTTCTTATAGTATTTCAACTCCATTATCAATTATTTTTAATGAATCCTACTCAAGTGGCATAATTCCGAGATAATGGCAGTGTGCAAATATTATCCCTATATTTAAAAAAGGAGACAAATTGAAAGCAACAAACTGCCGTCCTGTTTCATTAACGTCTGTCGTATGCAAAGTAATGGAGAGTATAATAAGAGACGCTTTGATGGAACATCTTGTTGAAAATAAACTAATATCTGATTTGTCCGAAGTAAAAACTGTTGCACATATAAGTTGTATGCCGACAATACAAAAATTTTTTCGGTGATTACAAATATCCACGATAACTATGCTATGCAAGAGGATTTATTGAACCTTAGTAAATGGGGTAAAAAATGGTTATTACATTTAACAACGAAAAATGCAAAATTATGCATATAGGGAAATAAACCCTCGCTATAATTGTTATATGAGCCAACCAACGAGCAATGAAAATCATTACACTATGATAAAAACATCTTTGGAACAAGATTTAGGGGTCCTAATATTTAATGATATAAAATGGAAAAATCATATAGATATGATCGCAGGAAAAGCAAACAGAATACAATAATAATAATAAAACATTGTTTTATATACTTAAATACAGACCTAATGAAACTATATTATTCGTTAGTTCGACCTCAATTGGAATTAGCTTCACCAATACAAAATCCTTATTATAAAAAAAATATCATGAAAATAGAACAAGTACAACAAAGAGCAACAAGAATAAGATATTTAAAAGGTATGAAAAATGTGGAGCGATTAAAAGAATTTGGATTGACGTCATTAGAAAAATTATAATAAAATATTATAAAATTCAAAATGACATTCATAAAGTAAATTAGAAATACCCTCCAATAAACAATTTATATCCAAAATTAAAAAGTCATAATAAACGGTTGCACAAACAAAATGTTCGTATTTCGGAAGCAAGAACGCATTACTTTACAAATAGGATTGTAAATAAATGGAACAGTCTAACCTATGACGACGTTGTTAATTCTGTTAATTTAAATACTTTTTAAAAATAAACTCAAGGAACAGGAATGAGAAAAGCAATTCTAAATAAAAATTGGATTGTTATTATTTTGTTATATCACGAATTTCATTAGTATTTTTCATCTTACTGTTAAAGTCACGCAACCACAGTTGAGTGACTCACATATTTTTTATATCTACAGTTAACATTATTATTATTATTATTATTATTATTATTACATAAAGTCCACAGACTTTAAGTGTTGTCAAAGATCAAATGTCTTGTTATCAGTGCAAAAAGTCAGCATATGATAGATTGGGCACATCAATTAAATCAAAGACTAATGGTGGAAATGATTGGAGAGATAAAACAATATGGAAATTGTTTGTTCAGGATTCAATATGAATAAAGATGTTCGAAATTATGTTGCCACTTGATAATCTTGTCAAAAATCAAATTCAAAAAAGTCAAAAGTTTCTCCAAAGTTGCATCCAATACAAATTCCAACAAAAATATAGCATCAAGTTGGTGTAGATCTCTGTAGTCTTCCTAAAAATCCAGAAGATTACGTTGACATTTGTTTAGTTGTTGATTACTTTTCAAAACGCATTGAAGCAAAGTCTATTTATAATAATAGTGCTAAAGACGTATCCAAATTTCTTTATGAACTTATATGTTGTCATGGTTGTAGTTAGATTCAAGTTAATTATCAAGATTGAAAATTTTGTAATAAAGTTTCTGAAAAATTTTTAAATCTTACTTGAACCTGTCAACGTATTACTATACCTTACCATAGGCAAGAAAATGGTCAGGTCAAAAGAGCTAAAATAATTACAGAGGGTTTTATACTAACTGTACTAAATGGAGAGCAAGAGAAATGGCCTTGTTCATTAGATGGCATAATGTTTGTATTTGGAACTACTCTCTACAATTTGTGGATCATCCACAATTATCTGTTGTGGCACAAGCTAGCAGGCTTCACTTCCTTTCAATTTATGTATGCAAGGGAGCCAGTCTTACACTTACATTGCACAAATAATGATCTGTAATAAAGAAAGCTTAATTTATGATGTACCTGTTGATTTAGACAAACAAGAAGGTGTTTATTTTAGTAAATGAATGAAATGAAATTATTAAAATTTAGTTAATTCATTTAGTTTTTATTTTAAGGCATTTTGGAACTGGCTGATTTGCAAAAAAATTTAAAACAAATTAAAGACATTCAAAGTATAATTCAAGATAAAGTAGCAAAAATTATAAAAAAACTGCGACAAAAGAAGGGCTATGAAAAATGTCACAAAACCAAATTCAATTTAATCTAGGAGATCAATTTTGTTTATAATCTTAGAGGAGTTGATAGAAAGGGTGATAAAGGAAAATCTGTTTGATGGACGGAATTAGCTTCACAAACTAAAACATTTTAGGGGTCACTTAGAGAATTTCGAAGTTTTACTGAATAAAAAAAGTAAAATGCACATATACTTTGAGCGTCAATTTAAATAATGTTTTATATTAAGAATTTTACCCTCATATAGATTCTCATAAAAGTATATTCATGAAAATTGTCTTACTGCAAGCGATTAGTAAAACAAAAAAAATAAAAATAATAAGACCAAAAGAAGTGAGAGGCCAACAAAACTTACTACTCTAGGGGCCATGAAGGAATAAAGGTGACCTTGACAAAAATAAATTTTACTTGTGAAGGTCTAAACCAACTTTGCAATTAAAAGCAGCAATAAGACAATTTGAATTGAATTAGCTACTCAAGTCAGGTCACACTACTACAGGAAACGTGTTGTCCAATACAACTTGCTTTATATAGGGCAAGTAAGACACCTTAGTCATAGTAAAGTCAGCTAATGTCAATAAGGGTAGTAGGACCTCGTAAACCTTGAAAAGTAATCTTACTAGAGGTAGTGATAATAAGAATACTCAGTCCTTATTTTCAAAACAACTTAAATTTAAGTTGGAAATTATGTTCAAAAATTTCTTCTGTACTGTAATTTTAAATAGAAAAAAAAACCTAAAAATTTAAAAAAGTCGTATTATAAAATTCATTTAATCTAATTATTTTAAAAGTTATGAATAATTAAAAAGTTTAAGGTGGCTTCACAGGAAATGTTTTTTTTTTAAAGTAAAATAACTTGAATCAATCTTAAAATCTGTTTTATAAATTTAAATTAATGAAAATAATACTAAAATATAATGGTTTATTGAAAAAAAAAAAAGAAAAAAGGAGGACTTTATTGATTAAAAAAAATATACTTTATTTTATTTTTCAAAACACGATTATTCCAGAATGGCTAATTAAAACAATTCGGTACTTTACGATAATATTTTCTGATATATGAGGTAGAGGATGAACTAAGATCATTATATAAAAATAAAAATATTTATTTTAAGTCCTAAAAAACTGAAAAATGACTAATTTCTAGGGAGTAAGGTTCAAAAAAGTCTTTTTTTACTGAACTGATTATTGTATTTTTTTCCAAAGTCTAGATTTAAATGTTTAAATACAAGATAAATACCAGATGAACTTTCATTAAAAGAAAGAACTGCTGAGTTTACTCCCATTTCAAGAACATCTGTCTTTACATAAATATTTAAAGGACATCGGGACCAGATGATATTATTTAGTCCTTCATTACAATTTTGAGTTTGCCCATGATGGCATTTTTTCAATAAATTATCGTTACTCAATTCATCAAAGTCTTTCTTGATGATTTCATTAATCCATTCAGGCAAGTTTAGTTCAGGAGAACAGTTTTCTTCTGCATTTTTTTTTTTTTTTTTGAAGTACTGTTACCTAAGTAATGAGTTATGTTATTATTGAGTTTTTGTTTTATTATTGTTTATCTTGCTTTGTTTTATTACAGTTTCATTATTGAGTACTAATTGAGTTATGTTATCTTGAGTTAAGTTGAAGTATTCTTATAATAACCCATTATATATTTAATTTATTAACCTAAAAAAATATTTTAAGTAAACATTGTATCAACTTGTTTTAGTATAATGATTTTGTCACAAAAAGTAAGTAATCAAATAATCGTGAAATGATGCAATTTCAATAAGTAAAACGGTTTCATTTTAAAAACTGAACATAGTTAGCCTCTAAACTAAATCTTTTATTATTGGAGACTGCGAAAACGTGGTTAAACAAAAGTTTTCAAACTGCTTTTTTCTGTTGCGATGGGGGTTGCTAAGGAAACTTCTTCTATATCTCATGCCTGTAAAATGCAAAATAGTAGCTTAAAAAACTGAAATTAATAAAAAATAGTTATATCATCATTTTCAACAATGTTAAAATTCTCAAAAATCATATTTTTCAAATTTTTTTTTTTGATTTTACACCTTTTATTTCCTGTGAAGCCACCTTAAACTAAAAAAAATTAATATTTTCTTTGTTTTTTTTTTTTGCTATTTGTACATAAAACCTGAGTTAAGTGTTGGTACCTGGCCGGTAGGAATTACTGTACAGTGCTTTGCACTTGGGCAGCGAGTGTTTGTTCCCTTTATGTACGGCATACCGTACAGTGAACGCTACCGTTAAGACAATCATGCCTACTACACCGGCGCCAGTAGGTGTCACGTGGGGTTGGGGAAGGAGTGCCATTACAATTTTTGCCGACTTAAAAAAACCACACCCCTTTTGCAACGGCCTTAGGCCCAAGGCAGCTACTTAGCTTGTTTGTGCCTAAGGCCGGCCCCTGGAATTGGTTCTAGGCGCAATCATACAATTTATAAATAAATAGCATTGTGCTTACAAAATTATCAGCTTATCATCTAGACAAGGTAATAATTAAGTTTTAACAATACCTGTAATTCCAATAACGCTGACATTCGCTTTCTTTGTCCATTTGTAAACAGATCACAGATTAAAAAAGTCTTTTAACATATGCTTATGTTGCAGGAGCTGTCCATTAATATTGTCAACAAATTCTAGACAATTTTTACCTCCCTTCCCCTTGTCAACAATATGTAAAATTACTATAGTATTAAAATCAAAAGCCAATCTTTGATTATCCCCCCTTCCCTGAATAAACTTTAAATGGAAAAAAAACATCCATTTTTTTTTATTTTTTAATAAATATAGAAAATAGGGCTGTTCCCTGTTTCAATATAAAGTTATAAACTTATGCTTTCTTTCTTTCTTCTAGCCGTTTTGCTAAAGCAATCTCAGCCGAAATAGCAGATGCATTTGCTGAATATAAATCATTTTGAACAGATTTTTTGACATCTGAAAAATATACGCCTTTGCACAGTCTCTGATTTGTGTATGTTCAACTTGTAACAGATTCCACATGTAGGGTTAAAGTGATATGTGATATGTGACATGTAGGGTTAAAGTTATAAGTGATATACTCTGAGCAGTGGATTAAAGTTAAGATCATTTAGCTGCAAAATTATTGCAAATTGAAAATGTTGGCCAGCGAGCATTTTAACAGTTACATCTTTGGCTTCTCCAAATTACTTAAGGTGACGTTCTAAATCCACTATCAAAGGTATAACACTTGATAGAGAAATTGCATCCGTTTGGAAACTCTATTTCAATAGAAAAGTTCTAGGAGATTGACAAAATCTTAAAGCAATATCCATTTGCTATTGGCAACTGAATCGATGTTGAGGTCATCAAGTACTTCATTTCTCAAAGTTTCTGAACCATAAAGTGTTTTTCCATTTTCTAAAACAGTCATTGATCACAGCCATTCCACCTATAAAAAGTAAAATGATTGTGATCAGAGACAATTTTTTTTTGTAAATTGGTAAGACCACTTTTAGAAGTTTTGTTCCCAGGCATCTCAATCTTTTAAATGCCACATTTTTGACTATAAGTCAACTTGTTCTTATACTTATCCTAAAAAGAATAAAAAGATTGATAAGATTAATGTCTGGTTCTAAGTTAATGAAGTCTATAATTTAGTACACTCTTTATCCTCATATGCTTTGTTTCACCAAATTTCTTTGATTCCATCTGTTTAAGCTTATGTAAAGAGGGATGGTTTTTTGTTAAATGATATTCAAGTTTGGAAGAATTTATATGTATATATCAAAGAATATTATATGACAGGATGCGCAATATTGATTTTCTGATTTCGCTAGCGAAGGCCATTGTTCCTATCAAAGTGGAATAAATGTTGCAGTAGTATTTTTTGAAAATCTTTTTCATTACGCCAAACAAATGTGAAGTTGTCAATTGTAAAAGGAATTATTATGAACTTAATAAGTTTCATGTTTTTAAATTACCAAAAGATGAAGTTGAGAAACTGAAATAGATTAACGTGCTTCTTCCAGTTAAAGATTTTGTTATAGAACCATCTAAACTTTATATATATGAAAAACTTGGCCTGAAAACACAGAAGTAGTTAAGCTTTCTGGTGGCTATACTCAACCACTATGTACACCAAGTATTTTTAATATTCTTTTTTCTTGTCTACCAACACCAAGTTAGTGCATCGCCAATCTAAGCCTGAAAATCAGCGACTTAATTATTTTCTTAAAAAACACAAAATAAATTTGTTTTCTGAATTTAATCCTTACAAAGAATTTCACAGAAAGTAAAAAAATATTGTAATATTTTGGCAAAACATTTGGATAAATTCATATGCATTTTTATGTCAAAGGATTTTAAAGATAGTTTCATGATAATAATTGTTTACAATAAGTGTACAGTGTGTTCACCACTAACTCTTTCTGCTTTTAAACATTGTATTAGCATTCCATTAAGCAATATATTGAATCCCAACAATGGCTTAGTCTTCCACTCACAGTTTTTTGAAGCTATTAATTTAGTTTATAATTATAATATGCATGTTAATGATATTATTGAAAAGGTGACAATTATTCTTTCAAAATATGAATCTAAAATCAATGATGCTATCAAGCAAAAAAAAAATGGTTGTGTAACAAAAGTTTCTCCATAGCGGATTATTGCATTTGAGAAAGTAAAGAGCAATCATCAGAAAAATGCTTTATTAATAATTGATGAGGTAAAAATCAAACCAATAGTTGCTTATTCATGCAAAGTTTTATATGGGATGACAAAAAATGATCCAGAGTCTAAAGCAACTTTTATGCTGTGTAATGGTAAAATGCTTGTATGGTGGACCTAGTTTAATGGTTACTGTTAGACCTGTTCAC